CCACCCATCCATCCATCCATCCATCCCCACAGCAAGCTAGGCTGCTCTGCTCCTTCTCCTAGGAGCTCTGCACTTGCCCGAGTCTACTATCCTGTTCCCTCTGCACAACAGTCCCTGCCAGCCCCGTGAACTCCTGGCCATCTCTGAAGACCGTCATTCTCAATGGCACCTCCTCTTAGTACTAAACACAGCACACAATGACGCCCTCTCCTTTGCCCTACAGCACAGTGCTTATTTCACAACGTGCTCCTACCCATGAGGTCCTTGATGGCAGAGGCCAATCTTCATTGTCCACCCAAAACCCCCACACACGAGCCGGAGATATGCCAGCTAGAGTAACACTGAGATGACCATTAGAGGTGAATGAGCAAACAAGAATCATTTCAGTAAACAAACATTAAGTACTCCACTGCGGCCACAAAGAAGTCCCAGAGCTGAAAAACACCCCCAGCCCAAACTATCAAATGAAAATCACAGTCCACTCTGCTCATCAACTTTAACTATGTTTACTCCATTAGTGATACAAGTGACACGAGTGCCTTGGGAGTAGAACAGAGCACAAGCCTGACTTCACAAGTACACTCTCTTCAAACAGGGGAACTAAATTTTGAAGCGTTACACAGATAAATATGACCTGTAAAAGCTGACAAGGTCAGCAGCGACAAACTTTTGTCTCCTTCCCTATGAAAATAAAACATTTTTTTTAAACACTGAGTATTTTGAAAATACTAAAGAAAGCCATTTGGTTAATAAGTACATAGGTTTGGAAAAATAGATCCTTTTTCTTTTTGGTAGCAGGAATCAAACTCAGGACCTTCCGCTTGCCACGCAGGCGTGTGCCGCTGAGCTACATCCCTGGCCGGATAAATCCTTTGAGTTGACTAAATTTTCTGAAGTATCACCTAACCAACTGGCCAAAATAAATGACAAACTACTTACTTTGTTCTTAAACTGGAACCTACCCTCCATATTATTACTTGGAAATAACTTCCTTGAGACAGAAAGAAAAATTTATATGAAGGTATAGATCTATACCCTTCTCAGAATATTAGTGTGTGACTATTTATAAATAAAAGTCAGTATGGTTACAGCTAGCTTCCTATCTACTTATCCCAGTCAGGCGCGAAACTGACATGAAGCCGCACTCCCTGCGGGGCCATCGCTTCCCCAGCGGCTGCTCTCCCGGCTCACTGCACCGCGGCACCGGCCCGCAGGCTCCGCGCGGTCACCCGGGCGAATGTCTTAGCAGTTACACACTGCCTGCCTGTCCACTGCTCATGCTGCGCGGAAGGGGCTGAGACCGACCGGGCCCTCCCAACTGTTAAATGGCGGTGTGGCCCTGGGCAAGTCATCCACTTCCCAGTCCTCGTGTTTATCACTGGCAAAGTTACAACATGGGCACTGGTCTGGCAGGGACTCACACACCAGTCTGTGGCCGGATTTTGTTCTTGAGGCTTGGGCCGAGAACAGTGTTTATATTTTTAAAGTGTTATAATAAAAGTATGGGAGAGCCACCTTGCGTGCTGCACAACATCTGAGGTGTTAACTCTCTGCTGGCCTTCCGCAGTAGTCTTGGGTGCCATCCCTTAAGATCGATGAATCAAGACTCTTCTCCTTTGGTTAATAACTACCTAGTAAAAAGCACTTGCTTTGTGCAAGGTGCTGGGGGAGGTATAAAAATCTAGGAGGCATGGCTCTGCCCTGAAGGTGATCTTCCCTAACCCTGCTTCCACTCCTGATCCCAGCGCCTCGGCTTGCTCAGGCTGTCCCCCGTTCTGTGCCTACTGCCCCCGGCGGAATCCTGCCAGGCCTGCCACTCAGCTAGTTCCCTGGGGCAGTTAGAAGGGCAGGTTGCACGGCATTCTCACGCCTTGTCTGGTTCTCTGGTCAGGACTCTGAGAATAGTTTTTAAACACTCCACAGGTGACCTGAAGGTCAGCTTGAGAACCTGCCTGACAATCTGGCCTATCTACCCTTCCCCACTCTTCTCCTCCTCTCCCGAGCACCGCACCCTCCCAGCGCAGTTGCCACAAGGAACGTTTTGGAGCACGCCAGCTATTCCGCACCCGTCTGTAGGGCGTTCCTCTGCCTAGAATCCACATCCCCATATGCATGGTAACCTCCTCCACGGCCTTCACGGCCAGCTCTGTGTTTGCAGTTTGCTCCACCCAAAACTTTGCTAAACAGGCTCAGCACTTCCTCCCCAAGCTTCCAGGGCACCTCACACATACTTCCTTTGAAGCAGGGATCACTTTTTTCTGTAAAGAGCCAGGAAGTATTTTCAGCTGTGCAAGCCTTGCTGTCTCTGTCTTGACTACTCAACTGAGGTTAGGGGACCCGAGGTAGCCATGTACAATCTGTAATTGATGGGTGTTGACTGTCCATTGAAACTTTATTTACAGAAACAGGTAGCAGGTAGATTTAGCCGAAGGGCCAGTTTACAATCCCTGCTGTACAGGACCCATCAGACTTCGTATCCTTGACAGAAAGGAGAGGTGCGTTATTTCAACACCTCCAGGAATCCGTCCATTTACAAAATACCATCATCTGGCCCTCTTCTGTCTCCCCTCTGTTCACGAGGTCAGTACCTACACTCCACGGCTTCTGTGAGGGATCAATGGACCAGAGCTGCCATCACCCATGCCCACTTGTCAGCCAGCGGCTCACCTGCAAACGCTAGTAGTGAGCACACAGTACAAATCTGTGCCTAAGGAGAAAGCAGTCAGATGCCACAGCCCTTTGGGGCACCTCGTACAATGCACACCGGATCCTCACACTATAGCACAGGTCAGCAGCAGGATGGCACTGGCTGTGGGAGATCAGTGGGGTGCGGGATCACTTACTGCAGGGGTGGCCAGGGAGGAGTTCGAGGAGGCCATTCTAAGGGATGCAACGGGGTATGTAGAACATATCGGCCCTGGGCTTTGGTGTCAGAACGACCTGGCTTTAAAAACCCCACAGTGGGCTGGGCATGGTGCCACACACCTGTAATCCCAGCACTTGGGAGGCCGAGGCAGGAAAATCACTGTGAGTTTGAGGCCATCCTGGACTACACAGTGAGACTCTGTCTCAAAAACAAAATGAAACAAAACAAATGAAAAACACCCCAAAGTTGGAGGGAAAGGGGAAAAAAAGAATCAAGGCATATCATGTACAGGTACAAATTCCGTATGATGTTATCATATATAAAAAAAATGTACCAATAACATTCATTTTTTAAAAAAGGATGAAACTTGAAAAAAACAAACGGAAAAGGCCAAAGCGCATCTGTGCCACTCCCCGCTGTGTGATCTCAGGCAGGCCAGTAACTCCCCTGAGCCTTCCTCAGCTATACAGCGGGGACCACGCATCACCTCAGAGGGAGGCCGTAGACTTGGTGAGGTAATACGTCACAGTGCCCGGGCCCAGAAAGCACTTAATGAACAACCGCTTCTCTTCCCTTTGAAGGACGAATGGGATTCTGACAACGATGGAGGCATGACAGTCCACTGCTGGGAACGTGAGGAAGCAAAGTAGAACAGCAGAAACAAACAGTGTGTTCTGGAGAGCGCAAGCCGACCCGTTTGCGGGGAGGGTGGATCCTCAACAGGGCACAAAAGGCAGCGAGACTCAAAAGCCAGGTCAGGAGTGATGATGGGGAGGGAGATTAAGTACCCTAACCACGGCCGCAATGTACCTAGCAGAATTTGGAAGACTGGTATAAATATTCCGGGAATTTTTCAAGTCTCAAATGCTCGTAAAAGGTGCAAAACTATGCGTACTGACTAATTTCTTTTAAAGATCAAAGTATAGCGTGGCCAATTCAAATAAGTATCTTTTAACAGGTGAGCTTAGTACTTAGCAGTCAAGGCACTCAGGTATTTGCTACAATGAAAGCAGGGACGGGGAGGAGGCTCAGAAGCCTCCCCTCACTCCCTCCCTAGCGCAGGGCTGGGCAGCCTACACGTGCGGGGCTCCAGAACTGGCAGGGAGGACCGCGGTGTCGCTCCCTGCTCCGGAGTTGTCTATCAGTCTGAGCAAGACTTGGTGGTGAATAACTTAGCTGACAGTTTTCGTTCACGGAAGTAATACCAGGCCCAACCAGGACCGCCAACCAGCCCCAAAACTGCTACAAAGAAGGTCTTCATACTTGGGATTCTTCTCCCCGGGGCAGGCTTGACCGAGAGCAGCAGGCTTGGACGCAGCCTCTGGGGAGGAGCTGAGGCCTGTGTCGGGTTCAGTACTCTGGCTGTCCTCCTCCAAAATCAATCTGCTTATTGTCATGCGCTTGTTCTTGGGCTGCAGTTCCGAGCCGCCCTCAGCCTCAGCTGGGGCTGAGTTTTCATTTTCATCTTTTCTGGGTCTCTTGGCTTTGAGGGCTGGCGATGATGGGGGTGCTTGGTTAGGAAGGACCAGATCCTTCTGGTCCAGTTTCGAGAAGGTCGCCTCAGAATCCTGGGCACCGGACAGAGCCTTGAAAGCTGCCTTCAGAGTCCTAATTCCAATGGTAGTCGGAGTACTCTGTAGCTGCCTGCAAACACGGCAAAGACACAGCATCAGTGTCACCCTGCTGGTGCCCACCGGAGGAGGCAACAGCCTTTTTGGAATGTGAGGCTACAAGCCCACCTGAGCAACCACCTGATAACCCAACAGCCCCGCCGCTAGTCTGGACTCCTCCGCTAGCCACCCCAGTGCAGCCCTCACGTGAGAAAGTAACTAACTGGCCTCCACTCACGGTAAATAGTCCTTACAGAGGACGCTGCACGGAAGGCACGTGCTGCCTGGTCTTCGAACGGTGAGAAAATGCCTTTGCCGAGAAGTTCATTTACCACGTGGAACAGCTGGTGTCAGGACGGGGCACACTGGGGGCCTCTAGGACTAACCCAGCTGGCAGATGTGTCTTGTAAAAAAACAGACCATCAGCCAGGTGTGGTGGCACATGCCTGTAACCCCAACACTCGGAACCGAGACAAAGGGTCCCAAGTTTGAGTCAAGCCTGGGCAATTTAGTGAGACGTCGTTGTAAAATATTTAAAAAAAAAAAAAAGCAGTAATCACCAGCAGCTGAAAAGCATGTCCTCTTTCCTTCCCAGTTCTATGCTCTCGACTGTCTTCTCCTGGGGCCCCCTTTACCCCTATTTCCTACCAGGCTGTGATGGTTTTTGGACAGTTTCAAGTGTCCCCCAGATACTCATCCATTAGAAGGAGTCAGGAGAGTAGACGACCCGTAATCCGACTGTGGTGTTTACAGGGAGCTCTGGAAGGTGACTAGGACCAGACAGAGCCACTGGGACAGGACGCCTGTGACTGAATACTGCAGCTTTCTAAGACGAGGGGAAGAGACTAAGTGACAAAATACACATGGGAGCTATGTCTCTCGCCATGTGCTTCGGATTCTGCCAGCAAGAAGGCAGCATCTGATGTGGGCCTTCGGACCTCCAGCACTATGAACTAAATAAACCTCTTTCTTTACAAAGCCCGCCAGGCTGGGATACAGCTCAGTGGCACAGTGCCTGCCTGGCAAGTGCAAGGTCCTGAGTTCGAGTCCCAGTACCAAAACAAGAAACAAACGAACAAAAAACTCAAAGCTGCCTCAGGTTACTGTGCCGGTAACACAAATGGACTAACACACAGGCCCTTAGAGACATCTCAACCCACAACCCTGCTTTAGCTGCTAGACTTGGGATTTCAACTCCCATCTGAGTACTGCCTTCCTGAGTGTTTTACAAATTAGGAACACGTGGGATATGGGTGAGGCAAAGGCAAAAATGAACACAGAACCTTTGAAGAGCCAACCAGAGCTTCTGCAGTCAGGGACTCCTATTCACATTTTCCCAGGGAGCCCACTGCGCCGTGTGCAAGGAGCCAGGTAACACGTGAGGAGGCCAAACCGCAGAGGGGGGCAGACCGCGCCCGGTGTCTCCCCAGCGCCGCAAAGGGCGCCCCGCTCACCTCGCGGGCTCCCTGGGCGGCTTCTCCACAGGCTCTCGCGCTGGCTGCTTGTCTTCCTTTCCTGCACTTGAGCTCGCAGCCTCAGATCTCAAGGCCTTTTTGGCCATCTGGGAAAGAATGGGTGCCATCAGGAAGACGAAGCCATGGAGTTTCATTACTCTGCTGCTTTCACCGTAAACACACTTAACAGACAACTTATAAACCCAACTGAGGCATAAACTGAGGGACGTGAAATGGGCACGTGTAATGAGAACCACCTCGAACTTTTTTTTTTGTAGTACTGAGGACTGAACCCAGGGTCCCTGCACTGAGCTGCACCCTGAGGTGGTTTTTTTTGAGACACGGTCTTGCTAAGTCACTAAACTGCTTAGGCTGGGATTAAACTTGTGATCCTCCTGCTTCTGCTTCCCACAGTGCTGGGACTACACGTGTGCACCACCACACTCAACTTCAAACTTCTCTTTTCTTTTCTTCCTCAAAGAACAATAATCCTTCAAAAATGGTTCTCCGTTATTTACACTGAAGAACTCAATCAGAGAATCACAAGCAAGAGATCAGTCTGGGCAACTTAGCAAGAACCTGTTTCGAAATTTAAAAACGGGCTGTAACTCAGTACAAAGGCCAGGCCCAGTCCCCAGTACCACGCAACAAAAGCAAACCGCAATCAGAGCGGTCAGTACTCACGACCTTGCAGAACTCTCATCTTTCAGACACCAAATAATGTGACTGTTCCACACATCTCCTCCCTCCTTCCAACCTCAGTCCTGGTCCAGTGTCCGACTTACAAGAAGTCAAAATTCTTTTTTCCAGCTTTAGGACAACCGCAGGTGCGGTGGTGCGTGCCTATAATCCCAGCACTGGAGGCAGGAGAACTGTCACGAGTTTGAGGCCAGCCTAGACTACACAGTGAGTTCAAGGCCAAACTGAATTGCACAGTGAGACCCTGTCTCAAACCACTGTCTCAACACACTGACTGACTGACTAAGAGACAACTATAACCTTGTTTTGTTGTTTTTTTTGGGTGTGTTTTGAGGTGATAAGGATTAAACCTAGGTCTTCATGCATGTTAGTGAAAAGTCCCACCACTGAGATAAATCCCCAGCCCACTACTGAATGTTTATACTAACGATTTTCAGTTTGTATATCGATTTTGTTTTACCTTGAGACAAGGTCTCACTCTGCCCAGGCCAGCCTTGAACTTGCTATGTAGCCCAGGCTGGCCTCAAACTTGTGGTCCTCCTGCTCAACCTCCCAAGCGCTGGGATTAGAAGCACGTGCCACCACACCTAGCTGCTCTAGCTGCTTTAGCAATTTTAAGGCATTCAATTAAGGAAGTAAGTGCATATAATTCAAAGTCTTTTACACCTACTAAAATTTTTCATTTTTTTTGTTTTTCTCTTGTATGTGTAACCCAGTGCAGTCCTGGGGGTTAAACCCAAAGCCTCTACATGCACAATAAATGCTCTGCCACTGAGCGGGACCCCAGCCCCACTTCTTAGTTGCTAATTCCCTGAGCAGCCTCAAGGGCGCGTCGCGATGACAGGATGAGAACAGAGGCCAAGGCGCACCGTGAGGAGGTAGGGCTCCGTGTCATCCAGGTGGCTCTCCAGGAAGCGCAGCATCTTCTGCTGGAAGGTCTCGTAGGAGAAGTTCTGGATAACAGGGTGGGCCAAGTTCTTTTCTCGGATAATGTTCAGGAGATCACTTCTGAGCTTCTATCGAGAGAAGCAATGTTCACAACGTGAGACAGAAAAAGGAGACTGCCAGTAAAATTCAACGAGGGCTTGAAACGCTATTCGAACGTTTGCAATGCTGTCAGTGAAAATCACTGGCACACACACAGGCAGGAGTTTCACACAGAGGATTTGTCACAAAATTATAGTTGAGCCAGTGAGTCAGAAAGGGATAAAGAAGATCCGTACACGCTAACAGAGCTTCAAGATGTAATATTAAGTAGAAAAAAGCACAGCGTTCAAATCAGTGTGTACAGTATGTTGTCATACATGTGGTTGTAATAACAGGCAAGATGAGGAGGCTCATGTGTGTGTCTGTACACACCCACCCCAAACTTATTTGCTCCCATTTGCATTATGCATGTCTCTGAAAGGATAAACACAATACAGATGCCTCTGACGGGGACAAGATGGCAAGTGTAAAAGGTAAGAGAATTTTTACTAAACTCTTTTGAACTCTGTATTATGTACATGTATTAGCTCTTCAAAAAATTAATTTATGAAGAAAAAATAAGAGGGAACCAAGAGTTTTCAACATCAGCAAACAGATGTGAAGTCCTCACCAAAGCAAGACGGCAGGATTAGCATTTTAAAAATGTTACAAAACTTGTCAGCTCAGTATCTCATGCCAATTGCTTAACTAAATCTTCTATTACAAACCAAACAAAATGAGTCAAGCAAATACGTTTATGTACATTTGTGCAATGAAAAATAAATTTTGCTGGGCATGGGGGTGCACGCCTGCAATCCCAGCACTTGAGAGGCTGAGGAAGCGTCACTGAGTTCGAGGCCAGCCTGTCAGTGAGTTCAAGACCAAGCTGAACTACGCAGTGAGGCCTTGTCTCACCAAAAAAAAAAAAAAAAAAATTTTGCTGGGCACAGTGGCACATGCCTATAATCCCAGCTACTTTGGAGGCTAAGACAGGAAGGTCACAAGTTGGGCAACCAAGCCAGGCCTATCTCAAGATAAAAAAAATAAAAGTACTGGGGATGTAGTTCAGGAGCAGACTGCCCCTGACTTCAATCTTCTTCTTTATTTGGTACCAAAATAAAGAAATAATCAAACACATTGAAGATAACCTCAGTTATCTTGGATATAAAAGAAAACATGCTAAAGATGTTGCCTATTTATTCACTGCAGTGCTAGGGATCAAACTCAAGGCTTCACTCATCCTAGGCAACCACTCCATCACTAACCACTTCCTAGCCCAAGATGCTGCATATTTAAGGGTGAGAATTTAGATTATATTCCTGACAAAGACCCTTTCCTTTTTGTTCAACGAAAGCAATGAGATGGGTTTAAGTCACAGAAGCAAAAATATTTAAATTTACCTGAGTTGAAGGGTCCTTTGACATATGTTTTTTCAAAATTTTTGAAGCCTTTTCAAATTCTTTGTTTTTGATACAAATAATGACAGCCTACAAAAAGTGGAAAAATTTTTTACTTCTGTAATAACAAGTATAATCAGAATATCAAATATCAAAATAAACCCCATTAAAAAGCTAAGTCATAAATACCCAAGAACCTTTTCATATTGCATCAAATTCCTATAATTACTTTAAAACCAACTGTCACTGTTTAAGTATTATGACTACCATAAGCTGTCTCAGCTTGTAAGGTAGTAGCTTTTCAATATTTATATGGATTTTTTTTAAATGGCTGACAGACCAAAATCTGATTCCCTAGATTACAGACCATTTAGCCAACTTTACTAGGGCCTCCCAAGAAGACAAAATACACAGGAGTCATTCTAGATCTTCAAAATCAGGTTCCACACCGTTTGGATGAAAGAATTTTGAAATAAGGGGTGGATGGGGGAGGGAGGGTACACGGGCTGAGGGGTACAGAACAAACAAGTGATGTGCTGACCAGAGTTCCGCTAGCTCCATTCAAGAGCCTGCGGCCTGTTCTGCAGAATGAAAGAGTAGGCCTCTCAGGGCAGACACCAGCTGGCAGGTTTAAAGGATGCAGGCAATTAGTGAGAACCAACTCAGCGCCTCCATAAACAAGAGACAGAAAGGACAAGGTTCCAGGCAGGACAGAAAGTTCTCACCCATCACAGAGAAAAAGAACCTTCTGTAAAGAAGCCCTGAGGGAATATATGGAAAGGGAAAATAACAGTGACTGAAAATTAAAAAGGAAATTTTAACACATATAAACATTTTTTAAAGTTAGAAAAGCCCACAGGAAATGCAAGTGAAAGGCATTTGTGGTTATGTCACAGGATTAAGCAGCTACCTTAAATCCCGCCTGCCTCCCAGAAGGGAATACAGAAGCAGATCTGGGATGCTGCCTAGCATCCACGAGGCCCTGGATCAGTCCCGAGGACTACCCACGCCCCAAATTACAGACACTTAAGTTTTTGAAAAAAAAAACAAAAAACAAAAAACAAAAAACAAAAAAACAACACAACATTCAAAAAGGAAGGAAAACACGCATATATTCAGTCTTCACAGGAATAAAGGTATGAAGATAGGGACCAAGAGCAGGAGCAGCAGCAGGGGGTCCAAGTACTAATCTCTGCTGCTTCTGTTCTCTACTTGGTCTCAGCAAAAAGCCATGATGCTTCTGTTCTCAGCACAATTTTTGTTGTTCTCCAGAACTGAAGGCAACTGGGGTCAAATGCTCTTGAATAAGCAAGCATGACTATAAACTGTTGCTCCCCAGGGAAGGTCCAAAATGAATGTAATTTCAATCAGATGACCAGGTTCGCTTAGACATCATTCTCAGCAGAAAAACTAATGTACACTGAGACTACTTTTTTCATTTTTTGGTACTAGGGAAGGCTGAACCCAGGACCTTTACACTGAACTACAATCCCACCCCTTTTTCTATTTTTGAGACAGGTCTTCAGTAAGTTGCCCAGGCTAGCCTTAAACCTCAGCTTCCCAGACTACTGGTATTACAGGCACGCATACCTGGCTAAACTTACTTTTTTTTTTGTCTTTTTGAAACAGGGTTTTGCTATGGAGTTCAGGCTGGCCTTGAACTCGCAGCGATCCTTCTGCTTCAGCTTTGTGAGTACTGGGATTACAGGCATGTGCCAACACACCCAGCCAGTTACTTTCATAAAAATACAAAGCTTTTACTTTTTTCTTTCTTTTTTTTGGCAGTACTGGGGATCGAACTCACAACCTTGCGCTTGCCAGGCAGGCGCTGATGCCACCGAGCTATATTTCCGCCAAAGCTTTCACTTTTTATGACTCACATAGGTCCTATTATATTTGTTAAATTCTGCTGAACTGGCAGGTGGCACATGTGTTTTGGGTGAATGCTGATGAGTATTAACACACGCCGACTTCCTTTCCTTTTTCGTTTTGCTGTTTTCTCTCTCCAAGAATGTCATGGAATGGAATCACACAGTATGTCACACTTGGTTTAAAGGATGTCGCCTTGAGACTGGCTTCTTCCACTCAGTGCACAGTAATGCCTTCGAGGTCCACCTAGGCTGCTGCACTACCAGAAATTCCTTCTTTCTGACTGGTGAACAAGACCACATATGGATAGTTTATCCATCCATCCATCCATCCACTGAAGGACACCTCAGCTGCCTGCAGTTCGGGGCCATTATGACTCAAGATGCCAAAACATTCAAGTATAGGTTTTGTTTGAACATGACTTCTCAGCTCTCTGAGGTAAATATGCAGGAGTAGGACGGCCGGATCACAGGCAAAGTTTATATTTAACTTGGTAAGAAACGGCCAAACTGTTACGGTGCAGAGCAGCTGCACCACTCTGCATCCACCAGCAATGTATGGGTTCTAGTTGCTGCACATCCTTACTCCTTCCCTCCTTCCTTGAGGTGTTAGGGTCAAACCTATGGCCACATGCATACCAGGTACCCATTCCATCTCAGAGCTATAACGCTCCAGCCCAGCATTTCTTTTAATTGATAAATAAAACTTGTATGTTCTGAAATATGTAACCTGCATTTTTTAAAAAATTTAGCTAGCTGGGGATATGGCTCAGCGGCACAGTGCCTGCCGGGCAAGTGCAAGGTTGTGAGTTTAATTCCCAGCACCAAAAACAAAAACTAGCCATTCGGATTGGTATGTATGTACAGCGGTACCCTGGTTCATAAACTCAATTCTCTCCACAATTTTAGTCACAAACCGAATCAAATTTCCCCATAAGGTCAACATGGAAAATTGAATTTGATTCAGTTCTCATCCAACTCGGTTTACAACCAGAATCGTGGAGAGAATCCAGTTTGTGAACCATTCATTGAGGGTTTATTTATTTATTTGAAGACAGGGTTTCACTATGCAGTTCACACTGACCTTGAACTCACTACACAGCCCAGGCTGGCCTTGAGTTCCTGGCAATCTTCCTGTCACAGCCTAAGTGCTGGGATTACAGGTGTGCGCCACCAAACCCGGACTGATTTGATTTTAGAGACAGTGTCTATGTCCTTCAGGCCAGCCTTGAATGTACTATGTAGTTCAGATTGGTACCCAACTCACAGCAATCCTCCTGCCTCTGCCTCCCTAGTGCTGGGATGATAGGAATGCACCACCTTGCCCAGCCTCATTGTGGTTTCAATTTACAGTTCCTTAATCAGTAACTAAATGAGACTGAGGATTTTTTTCTTTGCAGTGCCTCTGATTGTTGAGGCTTTGCTCTCCAGCTGATTGATGGAATTAATACAATCCAAATTACAATCTCAGCAGGTATTTTTATAGATAAAGACTAGCTGATTCTAACATGCATGTGAAAAGGCAAACTAAAATGAAGTACTTTTTTGCTGGGTGTGGTGGAGCATACCTATAATTCCCAGCACTTGGGAGGCTGAGGTAGGAGGATCGTTGCGAGTTCGAGACCAGCTTGTGCTACAAAGTGAGCTCAAGGCCAGCCTGAACTGCATAGTGAGACCCTGTCTCAAAAAGACAAAACAAACAAACAAACAAAAAAAGACAAAATAAAATTAAGCACTCTTATAAAAGGTTGGAGGACTCACACTTTCAATTTTATCAATTACTGTAAAGCTACAGTGCTCATGACTGTAGAGACAGGAGTCAGTGGAACAGAAGTGTCTAGAAAGGACCCACACAAATATGACTGATGGATTCTGACATGGATGTAAAGGCAATTCAATGAAAAAAGGTATTAAATGAAAAAGGGGTAAAAAAAAAAAAAAGAAAAAGGGGTAATCTTTTTTTTTTTGAGACAGGGTCTTGTTATGTGGTTCATGCTGGCCTTGAACTCGCTATGTGGCCTGGGCAACCTTAAATTTATGGTGATCCTCCTGCTTCAGCCTCCCGAGTGCTGGGCTTATGCCTGAGACAGAAAAGGGATAACCTTTTCACCAAATGTTGTGGAAACAATGGAATATCCGTATGTAAAAATGAACCATGAGCCAGACATAGTAGCACACACTGTAATCCTAGCACTTGGGAGGCTGAAGCATGCGGGTCACCGCAAGTTTGAGTGAGCCTGGGCTACACAGGGAGACCCTGCCTAAAAAAAAAAAAAACAATAAAAGAAAAGAAAAAAAAATAGAAAAAGTGAGAACCATAGATTTGATCTGGGTGTGGTGACGCACACCAGCACTTAAGAGGCTGAGGTGGGAGAACTATCATGAGTTCAAGGAAAGCCTGAACTACAGAGACCCTCTCTCAAGAAAACAAAATAAAATAAATAAAATACCCACAGATTTTTCAAAATAAGTGAGACAGGTTTATGTTGGGAAGGCCAGAAAGCACACGTTTACATTATGACAGAAAAAGGAAACCGTAACTCACAGAATTAAAGAACAATAAATAATCAGATACAAAGACACAACACTGTTCTAGGAAGTAGCAATATTTAAAAGACCCCGACAAAGTTTTTGTTTCAAGAATTAAAGCCGGCCTGTAATCCTAGCACTCAGGAGGCTGAGGCAGGAGGATGGCTGCAAGTTCGAGACCAGCCTGGGCTACAAAGTGAGCTCAAGGCCAGCCTGAACTGCATAGCGAGACCCTGTCTCCAAAAGATAAAAAGAAAAAAAAAAAAAATTGAAGTATTAAGAGAGTATGTATGAGGTACCAGCACCAAAAATGGGCTAAGGCCCTAAAAGAATCAAGCACCGTTACCCAAAGTGCAGGGGAGAGTGTTCCACAGCAAAAAGCAACAAATGAGTAAAACCAACAAACTTATAAAGCGATGAATGAATAAACTCCCCCAAGAATACGCCACGAATAGTCTTCCCAGTTCTTCAAAAAGTCTGAGAACCAGGTGTGATGGTGCATGCCTGTAATTC